AAGGTCTTGGTTTGTGTGCAGGGCAAGTGCAGCTAGAAGCTATCAAACCTTCCGGCTCCCTGGACCTGACCTTCCACAGCTCCCTCTCCGCATGTACTTGTCTGTGGGGGGTCCTATGTTGATTAGGACTGAATTCAAAGTTGGTCTGCCATGAACTGGAAGATGCTTGAACACTCACCCCTGCTACTATAATATCTTGGCAGAGAAACCATTAATTCTCTTTCTGGCATTTGCTGGAGTTGAAATATACCAAAGGGAAAGGGAAATTAGAAGCCGAAGAGAAGCAGCAGGTGAGAAGGAGATAACTTAAGAGTAATCCAGGGTTTTCTGCTGAGCATTGTCAGGACAGCTGCTGTCCTGACAACTCTATGAGGTACTTTCCAATTGAAAGAATGGCTCACGCGGTATGTGGTGAAGGGCAGAACCAGAAACTGATCCCAGGTCAAATGCACTCAACCACAATGAGCTGCACTGCCTTCCTGAACTCTTCATGTAAATGTCAGTCTAAGTGGACTGCAGCTGAGAAGACAATTATCCAAAAATGTGTCCGAGGATACATTCCCAATGTATACTTTTAACTTAAAACAATGTGTTTTTTAATTATTATTATTATATTTTTAGACAGGGTCTCACAATGTCACCCAGGCTGGAATGCAGTGGTGCAATCCCAGCTCACTGCAACCTCAACCTCCTGGGCTCAAATGATCCTTCTGCCTCAGCCTCCCAACTAGCTGAGACTACAGATGCCCACCACCATGCCAGTCTAAGTTTTGAATTTTCAGTAGAGAAGAGGTTTCACCATGTTGGCCAGGCTGGTCTCAAACTCCTGGGCTTAGGCAATCTGCTGGCCTCAGCCTCCCAAAGGTGTGAACTGAAATTTTTTATTTCAGCTATTTATCTCCCCCTACTGCCTGACTTCTGGAAGCTTGTTGAATCTTCTTTTTCCCAGAGATCTAAAATATCACAAACACGTGCCTTCATACGAGTGTGTTTACTCTCAGTACACTGGGCACCTGGTACGTTCTTGCAAATAAGGAAAATTCATGTAAATTTTAGAAGACTCCACCCCCTTTTTACGTAGGTATTTTAGTAAACAAAATACACTTTTTTTTTTTTGAGACAGAATCTGGCTCAGTTGCTCAGGCTGGAGTGCAGTGGTTCGTTCTCACAATGTCACCAGGGGTGGAATGCAGTGGTGCAATCCCAGCTCACTGCAACCTCCGCCTGCTGGGTTCAAGCAATTCTGGTGTCTCAACCTCCCAAGCAGCTGGGATTATAGGCAGACACCACCATGTCTGCCTAATTTTGTATTATTCATAGAGACAGGGTTTCGTCATGTTGGATGGGCTGGCCTTGAATTCCTGACCTCAAGTGATCTCCCCACCTCAGCCTCCCAAAGTGCTGTGATTACAGGTGTGAGCCACCTCACCCAGCCAAAATGAAATAACGGTTCTTTTAAAAGTTTATAAACATGCACATTGTTGGCTGGGCGTGGTGGTTCACACCTGTAATCACAGCACTTTGGGAGGATTGCTTGAGCCTAGGAGTTTCAGATCAGCTGGGCAACAGAGACCCTTTCCCTAGAAAAAAAATTAAAAATTTTCCAAGTGTGGTTGTGCATGCCTGTGGTCCCAATTACCTGGGAGGCTGAGATGGGAAGATTGCTTGAACCAGAGAGGTCAAGGTGGCTGTGTGCGGTGATGGTGCCACTGCACCCCAGCCTGGGAGACAGAGAAAAATCCTGTCTCAAAGCAAACAAGAAAAGGTGCATAATTAACTCTGTCAAAAATTAAAACTATAGTAGTAATGAGGGTGATTTTGTTTACATGTTTCCCCGTCTTTTTCAAAAAACCTAATGAAATCTAAAAGGCTTCATGCTAACATGTCAACAGTGATTATTTCTAGTAATGGGATGGTGGGCCATTTACATTGCTTCTTTCACTTTTGTATTTCCTGAAAAAGTGCGGCACACAGAGCATATTGATCATAAATCAGAAAAAAAAAAAAAAAAAAAAAAGGCGTTTTACTTCATGCCTGGTCCAAACCCACCCCAAGGTAGAAGTTCCGGCTCCGTCATTTTAGTTTTGTTTGCTCTGCTGAAGCAGAGGGGCCTGCCAACTCCTTCATTCGCACAGCAAATATTTGTTGAACTCCTAAAAGCCAGGCCCTGCAAGGTGATTTTAATACCTGAGCCTTTTGAGTCTCCTGAATTCCTCAATACCCACTGAGAGAACCAGCTGGGAGAGGAGCTGAGCCAACACTTCTCATATCTCATACCACTATGGCCACCTGGGGCTTGATAGAGCTGGTCCGGGTGGGGTCTGTGGCTGGGGGAGCGAGCAAGCTATTTGAGGTACACAGAATTTACTTCAGGTTTCTCAAAGGAACTGCCCAGGTCTTCAGTCACCTCTGCGCCATGATGGCGTGCCCATTCTCTAACTCCCACATAGGCTGGATTTCAGTTCTCATATATTTAAACAAAAGTCTGAGACATGGCGGAAGGGCACTGCTGGGGCGGCTCTCAGCTGTTCCCGGTTAGGAGCAGTGCCCTGCAGAAAGGCAGGCCTGGGTTTGAATCCCAGCTTCACCATCCACTGGTGTAATTTACTTCCCCTCTCTAGGCCTTCACAGGGGACGGGGTCGTGTGGATTACACGAGGGTACGAGGACATCTCAAGGGCTTGACAAGACCCTGGTACACGAAGAAGACTCAAACAGTGACCACCCCTAGCTGCTGACAGGGCGCCAGTCCTTTCTCAGCCTTGCAGGACTGGCTGGGATTTCTGGGGAGATCACTTGAGTTTCCAGCCTCCATGCCCTCCAAAGGAGAGAAGAACGCCTATGCCCCACCTCCTTCCCAGGAATGTTCTGAATCTAAGCCAGGGTGTGCACAGCACCAGGCAGAAGACCTCTTTGGTCCTGAAATAGGTGGCGGCACTCAGATTTTATTCGGCAAATTTTTCCTGACTCACCTCAACGTGACTACCAAGGAGATAATCAGAAAAAGAAAGAAGCCCTTTCCTCTTCCCCTGATCTTAGGAAAGCTTTATTTTGAGGGCGGAGGCCATCCTCGTGGAGATCAGGTGAGAGAGGCACCAGGTGTCCCTGACGCTCAACACAAACTCAACAGCCACTAAGCAAAGCATCCTGCTCCCAGAATCTGCCGCCGCCACCGAGAGGGCGCAAGAAGCTTAATTTCTCCCCCAGCAAGACATCCTGAGGATCACCACCCTTTCTTCCCAGGAGAGCCCGAGTTTCTTGGACCTCCTGAGTTTTGCACTTTGGGAAGAAGGCGAGGCTGAGCAAAAACGGTTCCCTGAAGCCCGCGGGAGGATCTGAGCAGACTCGATCCGGAGAAACACGGCGGAAGCACGCGCCGGGGTCCAGCTGAGCCCCCGCCACCCCCAGCCCGCACTCACGATCTCGGCCACGATGAGGAGGCCCGGCAGGGTGCGGAGGAACTCCCGGTCGTAGGCGAAGCTGCTGCTGCTGGTGGAGAAGTTCTCCGCGAAGGAGCTGGCGGTGGTGGTGACAGTGTGCGAGCGGGGGCGCTGCGGATCCTCCATCGTCGCGCCACGGCCGGGCTGGCGCGTCCCCTGGGACCCCCGGCGCGTCTGGGGCTGGACGCGCGGCCCTGCGCCCCCGGGACACAGGCGCGGGGGAGGGGAGCGCGGCCGGCGCGGGGCAGGGGGCGCGCGGGGGACGCCTGCTGGGGGTTGTCCAGGCGCGGCGCGTGTCCCTCGAGTGGGGGACGCCCCTAGCGCCTCCGTGCGCGGACTCCCGGGCTGCGCTGGGGCCCTGGAGGAAGAGGAGAGGAGCGAGGGGAGGCTGCGGGGCCGCTGATGGACGCCCGGAGGAGGGGAGGGGGCGTGGAGAGGGGCGGGCGGGAGGCGGGCAGGAGAAGGACCGCCCCGCGGAGGCACAGCGGACGCCCAGCCTCTTCACCTGTTTCCCGTCTCCCAGAGACCAAGAAGGCGCCGCGTCGCGCCCAGGGTGGCTGGACTGGCAGCCCAGCGGGCGGCGCGGAGGAGAGGGCGCAGGGGTCCTCCTGGCCGCCTTCGGCTCCCGCTCCCGACCTTTGCCTCCGTCAGGCCCCGCCTGGCTCAGGCCCGCAGCCGCCACTGACCTGTTTCCTTCCACCTGGGCGTGCCGGGGGCAGCGGGCATTGGAGCCCCTTAAGGAAACCCCGGCATCCGGGGGCCCCGCTGCTCCAGGACTCGGCGCGGAGGGAAGGACTGAGCGGGGACCTAGGCTGGGCGTGGCGTGGGGCCTCGAATGTTGGGGAAACGGCAAGAATGATGACCCGGCCGGACCTTAGACCCGAGATCGATGAGAGGCCGCCAGCACTGTCGGGAGACGGCCCGCGCTTCTTCCCTTCCTGCTGCGGCCGCCACCGGAGCGCGGTGTTATTTCCTGCCCCTCCTGTCGGGAACAATTTGAGGAACCAACTTAATCGCTTGGCTTTGAGGGCGCGACGCTCCCTGGAGCTCTGCGCGGCTCTGTCCCGCGGACCCGTGGAGCCTGGGTGACAGCGCCGGGGTCGGAGGAGGGGAGACGTTTGGGGTTCCCGGCCAAGATGAATCAGCGTGACCGTTTCGTCACCCTTGGGAAAATAAATGTTTCAAGAAGGTTGAGAACTGTGGTTTCTGTAAGTTTAACTTTAGGACCAACAAGCTGTGCTGTCCTGGCATGGGAAGGGGACGGGGGTCCTCGAGCGCGGGTGCCTGCGTTTATCCGCTGTTTGATTCAGGGCGAATGACTACTTTTTGGGCCTCAGTAATGCCGTCGGAAAATGCAGGCTTTGACAGATGGAGCTCTGAGCAAAAGGATTATCTTCCGCTTGATCCCTCCCTCTATTTTGTGAAAGGGTGGCGAGAAACATTTTAACTGAAAGTCACCAAAAGAAAAGGAAATACTCTTTGGCTATAAATCAAGGGTAACTTTGGATTCGCAGTGAAGGTATTCCTGCTGATCTGTTCCAAAACAGGTTAAAAAAGAGATCAGAAGGGACATTTTATTCACAGTGTCTTACCAAGTGTGCCGAGAAGAAAGCAAAAACTACAATCTAATAAAATAAAACAAGGAAATAGTGTCTTTTAAGTATAGGGCCTAGCCAGGAAGACCCCCGGGTAAAGCTTGGCCAAGATGAAGATATGGGGAAATTCCATCCATCCATATGCATTTGGTAAGCACCCTGGGCTGGTTGGTAAATTTTAAAAATTTAAAATATAGCACTTTCCCCTGGAGCAGTAGTTCTCAAAGTGGTTCTTGGACCAACAGCAGGCAAGTTCCCTGGGAACCTGTCAGAAAATGCAAGTTCTCAAGCCCCACCCCCAGACTCACTGAATCAGGAACTCTGAGGGTGCAGCCAGGAAGCTGTGATTGAACAAGCCCTCCAAAAGACCCTGATGCCTGCTGAAGTTAGCTGCTGCTTTAGAGAAACTGCTAATGAGTTTGGGGAAATAAGAGATACATACATGAAATGGCTGGAGGGGACTCGAGCTTCATGCATGACATTTAGTGAATACAAAAGACAGAAAAGGAGTCTAGACAACTCTATTTCCATAATACAAAGGACAATCCTCTCTTAAAATTCTTGTGGTCAAATGGATTTCTAAATTCAGATTTTTTTTTTTTTAATTTAGAAAGGTAAAATGTACATATACCACATATTACATAATACCTTCAATGAGGCGTGCAGTGACACTCTAATAAAATACACTAATTTTCTGCAAGGAAAATTACATGAATGATGTAAGTATATACTTGGATTATCTATTGCAATGTATCAAATGTTGACAAAAACATTAATAACTTAAAAAAACATTTGCTCAGGAATTTGTTGTGTCAGGAATTTAGGAAGGGCTTGGCTGGCAGGTTCTTCTGCTTTGCATGGTGTAATTGGAGTCATTTACTCAGCTGATTTCAGTTGGTGACTTGGCAGGGCTAGAAGGTCCAAAAAGTCTTCATTCCCATTTGTGCATTTCAGTGCTCTTTCAACTTGCCTCTTTCTCTGTGCAACTTGGGCTTTCTAACAGCATGAGACGCTCATAGTGGTTGGACTTCTACCTGGCACCTGGCTACTGGAAGAGACTTTCTAAGAAGGGCAAATGCAGAAGCAGATCTTTTAAGGCCCGGCCCTGAAGGCTACACAGACTCATTTCCACCACATTTTATTGGTCTAAGCTAATGAATGACAAGGCCAGTCAGATTCACACATAAGGGAAACAGATACCACCTGTGGATGGGAGGAGCAATAAAGAAATGTGGCTGTCTTTTAATCTAAGTGAGATAAACACAAAGACAATAAATAGCTTCGTATCAGCTTAGGTTAGGTTTTTCTACCAAATATGTTTTCTGCAAGATCAGGAAAAAATTTTTGGTTTTTGGCTTTTGGGATTTCAGAATTTCAGAGAAAAAAATTATACACTGGTTGTTTGCAAACTAGCTGCCCCTTTCCAACTGCTGCCTACATTTGGGTGATTGTCTTCCACCTGAAACTCTGATTGGTGCCCATTCTTCCAATAATACCCTTATCCAGCCTACCTTCCATCTTCTTTTTATTTATTATTATTATTATTATTTTTATTTTTAAGATGGGGTTTCACCATGTTGGTCAGGCTGGTCTTGAACTCCCAACCTCAGGTGATCTGCCCGCCTTGGCCTCCAAACTGCTTGGATTACAGGCGTGAGCCACCACGCCCAGCCACCTTCCATCTTCTTGCAAGAATTATTGTCCTGAAACCCCAGACTAAGGTACCACTGTGCACAGCATAAGGGCCTATATAAGATATTTCAGCCTATCTCTTCTGATCCCTTTCTCAACCACTCTAGAATGCATTCTATTTCAGCCCCAGATACATTTTGCACATATCTCTGTAAGTGTGACCCCTTTATGCCCATAGTCAGCTTTTCTTTTAGCCTGCAAGGCCTCCTACCATCACACAGAGCTCAGAATCTGCAGTCTTCATGGGCCGTTTTAAATGCCACCTTTTCTGTGATTTCTTTGGATTTCCATGAGCATTGTTCTTTTTGTTTTAGAATTCGTTGATTTTATGCACTTCTTTTTACTACCTCTCAAGAGATATGAATTACCCTTCCTTGTCTGCCACCTGCCATAGGAGGTATTGAATGAATGCTGAGGCTCAAACCTTTATTTATTTAGAGACAGGGTCTTGTTCTGTCACCCAGGTTGGAGTGCAGTGGCACAATCACAGCTCACTCTGGCCTTGACCTCCTATGCTTAAGCGATCCTCCCCACTCAGCCACCTGATTAGCTGGGACTGCAGGCGATCACCACCACATCCAGCTAATTCATTTCATTTATTTTATTTATTTATTTTTTTTTGGAGAGATGAGGTCTCACTTTGTTGCCCAGGCTGGTCTCAAATTCCTAAACTCAAGTGTTTCTCCCACCTCAGCCTCCCAAAGTGCTGGGATTACAGGTGTGAGCTACCATGCTGGTTCCAAACTTGATTCTTAAATGCAGAAAAATGTCAAAAGAAAAGCTAAGTCCTGTGCCCCCATAATGACTTAATGCAGAAGAGAGCTTCCAGCTGAGACTTGTGGGAAGTACTTGATTTGTAAGAAGTGAGAAGAAAATGAAATCAGGTTCAGCCCAAGTGATACCACATGTGCCAGGACAAGCAGGTACTGTGTAAATAGGCACAGAGAAATCTAAGCTCTGTTAGCATGGAGTGTAGCATTGAGGGTTTATGCAGAGTCTAAAACATGGCTGCCACAAGGCCATATTACCCAACCAGCCAAAGTTATGAGACACAACACTCTTAAGGGTCTGTAGGGCCCAGGCCATTCAGGGGAAGCCCAGGACTCATCAATAATTTAAAGAAATAAATAGCATATGATTTCCACCTGCTATCTGAGAAAGAGGGCCAAAGGATATTCCCATTTTTTAGGCAATTTTCACAGGTTTCTTCATGTTTCTCTTCAATGTTATTCTAGTTTAAAATTTGCCGGGCGCAGGGCTCATGCCTGTAATCCCAGCACTTTGGGAGGCCAAGGCCGGTGGATCACGAGGTCAAGAGATCGAGACCATCCTGGTCAACACGGTGAAACCCTGTCTCTACTAAAAATACAAAAAAATCAGCTGGGCATGGTGGTGCATGCCTGTAATCCCAGCTACTCAGGAGGCTGAGGCAGGAGAATTGCCTGAACCCAGGAG